GCATCACAGCATCAGTTGGCAAGATAGTCACGCGTCTCGCGTGCCTTGCCAGCTTATTCATGGCGGCCATGCGCTCCGTGAGACGTGCCTCACATGCCTGCTGGAGCAGGAGCATCGCGCTCGATGTGAGCTTGTAATCAATGGATCGGCCTTCCTTCTGCAAAACTTCGCGAAGGCTGTCTTTCACCAGTCGGGCAAAGCATACCTTGGGTATGAGCTCAGAAGGCGAGTTTTCGCTTTGAAGTCTTCGGATTTCCGCCTCGATATTGCTCGCCCGGGGCCCATCAATAACGTGTCCCTCCGAATCAAGCGTCCTCTTGCGGGTTCTGCTGGCAAATGTCTGCTCGTACTTGTCGCGGCTTGAACGTGATGGCTCGCGTGTGCGCTTGGTACCCCTCACCTGGCCAGCATCACCAGGCTCACGCAGCTCCTTTGGGTCAACTGTTTCCCCCTGCTTCTCGTGAAAGGAACATGAAGGCTTCTTACGCCTCGCCCGTGCAGCACCGCCAGACTGACGCATCTCCAGCTGCTCATGCTCCTTCAGCATGACCTGCAATTCTAAGGCTTTGGGCATGCGTATATGTATATATATATATATATAGATGGATAGATAGCTAGATAGATAGATAAATAGCAGCAATTCTAAGGCTTCGAGGGCATGTGTATGTGTACATACCTGTATACTCCGTGTTGCTCTTTTATCGCCTACTTGCAAGTAGGCTTTAATTTAAGCTCCTCTACTGCAGAAGCGCCTAGTTCCAAGGGTACAAAGCGGAATTGCCAGTCCAAAGTTGTTTTCGCCAATTAAGACCCGATTGTGCCCAGTTCCCCAATGTTGATGTCAAACCAGAGTAGGTTGTGTTGTGTGTATGTTTGACATTAGCAAAAGAAACGCTAACCGCAGAACCAAGCCCGTAGGCTTAAATGTCAACCCTTGTGGAATCTATGTTATGCTTGAGCTGCTTACTCTAGGGTTCATCATTCGGCTTCTGAGACTACTGTGAATTTTCGGGCTTAGGGCTTTATAGGCTAAGGGTTTGTATGGGTCTTCGTAATTAGATAGATTAGGGTTTTGGGTTTGGGGTTAGGGTGCATCATGTGCATCAATTTCGGTGGGAACCACGACGCTTAAGCGTTACACTCGATACCCTAAAAACCCTACCTAAACCTTAACTGAAACTCCAAATCCCCATAAACCCTACCTCGGCCGAGCCCACGCCGTCTCTGCAGACGAACCCGCGGCTGAAGGTCTAGGGCTTTAGCTTCGGGAGAAATCCTTGTTGGGTTAATACCTAGGGTTTAGGCTTCGATCAGCTCCGGTTTAATGACATCGTGCCCCGCGTATCGTTCAAGCTTCTTTTGCCTGCATGCAGCATCACGAACGAAGGAGCTGAAGGCTCCTAGCAGTACCCGCAGCCTTGAGAAGAAACTTTCCAGTCAATAAAGTGCTTGGCCTAAGCATGAAAGCATAAACGGAATTTCCAGCCCTTACTGCTGGCCATGGGCACTCTGTCGGGAGCTCATCTGTCGTGGGCGACAAAAGTTACTTCTTTTCAGGAGGGCCTTTGTCTTGAACAATAGCCGGTCGAAGACTCTAGCATTGCATGTTCGAGCGGACACTCTCCTGGCCAGCCGACTAATTCTGCCGACCATGTCTTCATTCGCTTCGCAGGAAAACGTCATAGGGTTTAAGATTAGTGGTACCTTGAGCCGAAGCTGTCTCAGGAGGTCCTTGTTCACATGGTGAAGGGAATGTAGTTTCGGCTTCAAGCCGTAAGCAAACACTCCCGAACGAAGACTCTCAGCTGCGCAAAACTTATACCCACGCAACATCACTGATAAGTGATGCTGGGCGCGTTGGGCACAAAGGGGATCCAACCATAGGCCATGGGAGTGGAGTAGATCGAAGAACACGATCGCAGAACTCAAAGTTTGCTGCATTGCAAGAAAAATGCGCTTGGGGTCTGGTGGCATTGTCCTTAAGAACCACAGGAGCCAATGGGTCACCAAAGTATTGTCCGACCCTTTCCCATTGAACCACGGAAAGCTCGACAAGTCGGGTGCCATCATGTTAAATTTCGTGAATGAACGACACGACGGTGTCTTGTGATTAGCCAAACACCACAGTTTGAAGCTTCCGTGTGCTCTCTCGAGCCTCGCAGGCACGTTGCAAGGCTCGTCAGGTGAGTTTGGGTCGTCGAATTTGCCGGCAAGCGCGAGGTACATGATGCTGGAGCCAGTCAAATCCCTCCCTAAGCCTACCTTCCAACAATGGAAGAGATCGAGTTTGAAGGAAGCTTCACCGCCGCGACTGTCGTGCGGGATGCGAGACAAGGGAGGAGCAACATCCCATGGTGCTTGCTGAAACATGGTTGACTCCCATCTGGGATTATCGGAAATCGCTTCGAAGGGCACGTTTGGGGCGCCGGCCATGCAAAGATGGCAAAGGGCATGTTCGTATTTCACTCCTACATTGTAGTAGGAACGGTTGAGATTTCCGAGCTGGACGTGAAACTTGAGGTCGCCCTTGATACCAAGGTATCCAGCATGATATCGATCCTTTCCGACCGAAATGCCTTCCTCAACAAGGCTTGTCAAATCAGCTGCAACTTCAGCGAAGCCGTTTTGCAACAGACCCGGGAACTCTTTGTAGAATTTGCTTTGCAAACCGAAGCACAAGAACTTAGAAAGATAACAATGACCTTTGGAATTTGTTGTCTGTGCCATTGCAATACGGCTTCTTTTCGAGGGTCTGGACTCAGAGCTAGCTTCCAGTAGCTCCGTGTACTTCTGCAGAACCGGGTCCGAGGCACAGCTACATGCTTTCGATTTCCTGGAGCTGTTGTGGTCGGAGCCTAAGGGGCATTCTATGGTGCAAACCATAAAGTTGGATCTCTTCAAATAGCGACCCTCGTCCCCGTGGAGTAGCAACGGAATCGTGAATCGCATCCTGTGTGCCTGCTGACTCTCCGGCCCTGCAAACATGACATGCTCGGGGTGTACCCTCTTGTAATAGGTCCAGAAAGCTTCTAGTTCATCCTCAAGGGAAGGCTTATTCCCGGACAGTAGGGCGGGATGTGTCTGAATCAAGTACTTCACCCAAGCACTTGGCCGGATCCACGGCAATTCAATCGAATCCCCATTGCTCGATGTGAATGTAAGCAGGTCCCTAGGCACTTTCATTGACAAGCCGAAGTAATTCAGAAGATGATCAACATCACGGGTCGCATTGGAGTCCGTCATCCCTCTAGCTACTTCGACTCCCGAGGCCTTGGATCCTTCGCTGCGTGCCGCTCTCACGCTTCGCGCGATGCTGGAGGCTGGAGCCTTGGAGTCTTGGGTCATTTGAATTCGGGGCTTGAATGAAGGCTTTGGGGCTAGGGTGTTGGGTTGAGGGCTTTCGGGTTTGAGTTTTGGGGTTAGTTTGGGGCTTGAAACTTCTTGTTTCTAGTTTAGATAGGGCTTTGGGGTTAGGGTTTAGGGTTTTGGGGTGAGGGTGTAGGGCTTATGTCTTGGAAGGTTTTGGTTTCGGGTGTAGGGCTGTTTCCGGATTTGTGTTCTGGGGCTTGGGGCTTTGGGGTTAGGCTTTTGTGGGGCGGCTAGGAGCTAAAACTAACCACCTTTTTTTGGCTGGTCCTGTGGTTCGGCCTTTCAGGGTTTAGGATGTCGGTTTCTGGGGGGCAAAGTCTAAGTGAGTCAAGCCAAAGCGTTTTCAAGTAGTGGCCTTAGTATTTGTTTTGGGTTTTTGTATGATAATAACAATAAGGGTTCTACCTAAACCCCAAGAAGTCATTCTCGTTTCTATAATATGCAGACTGACATCTCTTCTCGAACGATCTGAACATATATAGCGGACAGGGACTCTAAAGTAGTCTTAGGGATTCAATTGTGTGTACGGGGATCTACTCCGTGGGGCATAATTTAGAGGCTTGATCGCAGACCGGGAGCCCCGCACCGTCGCCGTAGTCCTCCGCCCACTGTTGCAACACTGGCCCGGCCACAGGCTTACCTGGCATATGGTTTTCAAGACAGCTTTCTACTTTCCAAGGATAACTGATAGTTACTCCTACAAGTTCTCCAAGACCCTTTAGCGATCCCTAATACCCCGTTGTTTTGGTCTTACTTAGGAAGGCTATGTAGTGTTGTTGCTTACGACGAAGTACCACGAACCTGAAGGTGTAGACACCTGTCTCACTACAATCCTGTTTAGGCTTTCCACAGTTTAGAGGCCAGGTTTAGCAGGTTTAGGGGTTTAAAGGGTTTCGGGTTTCGGAGTTTAGGGGTTAAGGGCTCAGGAGGTTTGATTGACAGCACAAGCAAAGCACAATGCCATCGTTTCTGCTGTGCCATTGCCCGGGACTCGAGGTTGCCTTGCAAGGCTAATTATTCTGCCGAGCTGCAAGCATCAAACGAGCATACTTGAAATGCACGCGCAGCGGGCTTCAACTACACCAAAGCACAAATGTCTAAAACACATGGCTTTGGCAAACTCAAGAAGAGAGGGAAAGTAAAAGGAGCCAACCTACTGCTTACTCTTGGCTTTCGCCTTGCCTTTGGCAGCGGCCTTCACGGCGGGAGGTGGTTTTTTCGGGCTAGCTTTGGCTGCGGCCTTTGCCGTTGCCCCGCCTTTCTGAGCCCCCTTGGTCTTCTTCTTGGGCTGGGGGGTTTGGGGTGCCTCATGTTCAGGCTTCCTCTTGGAATTCGATAGCACAGACCTGCAATGATCGGGGGTGTGAAGAGATCTCGCAAAGCGTGAGTTTTGTCGTCAATCCGACTGAATGGCTACAATAAGCCCCGTGCTTTGCCCGCGGCTCCAGGAGCAAGGCTTGGATACACCTCGACCGCGTACGACTACATGTCATGTATTTGCAGTAGGAAGCTTCCACAGAAAATAAGCTCCAAACAAAGCTCGGAGGGCGAGAAGCTGATCCTTTAGCTGCTGCTGAAGCCTTATTTCGAATCAGGTCCGAGCACAGCACTGTGAGAAAACGATAATTATATCAGCAAAGGAGCTCACTTGAATAACCGTCGATGATCCCAGAATTATACAGCCTAGTCAGCTCCGCATCGTCTTCGGTAAGTTTGCTGACGAAGCTGCAAATCTTGGTAGCCATCCTCAGGTGTTAGTGGATACAGCATGAAAGCTGCGCAAAAAACTGCTGCGCATTCAAGCTTTAGATAAGTATCTTTTCTGTCAAGTCAGTCTCGATCCGTTTGGCTAGCTCATCCTTGAACTCATTCAACTTGTTGATGCGCTTCTCTACAGCAAGCCCAGCTTTGCTGTAGATCAGACAAGGGTTGCTGGCCCTCTCAATATCCGGAAAGCAACTCAACAACTTCGGATCAACAATCTCGGCCGGAGGCTGCTTGGTGTCCTGGGAGCCAGCAGGACCGTCGCTGCCTGAAGGGTCGAGCTTCCTAGAATAAGACCTGAAAGTAAGATGACAATAATTTTTATTGCTCTTATAACCAGTAACTGTAAAACTACGAGTAGGACGGGGGAAGGGGCATATAGAACCGTAGAAAGCTTTCCCAGACTATCTGCTCAGAGTTCGGGGGTATATACTTAAAATCGCAAGCTTGCAGGTCTTGCTGTTTGGGTGTTCAGTTAGGTCTCGGGTAGTGGTCTGCCAGGTTTACATTGTCGTCTTGAATAATGAGACCATAACAAGCCGGGCTGGGCAACAAACGGGCCTCGGGCTTTTGGTTAGGACAAAGGGACTCTAGGCTTGGTTGCTCCCGCGTGGACAAAACTTAGGATCAGTTGCGCTTAAGGTTTAGGGTTTTGGTTTTCGGAATTATATGCAACTAGTTCAAGTTTTCTATGTTAAGCTTTAGGCTCCTGAGAAGCCTGTGGGTGCTTGGGTTAGCAGACGGGGCCGCATTCAGGATTCTAGGATTAGGCTCTTCGGGATCAAAGCCTTAGGTCTTTAGGGTTTAAGGTCCAGGGGACCCAGCTAGCAATTGCAAGGGCTTTGACCTTCTTTGCGAGCTGTTTGAACTTGCTAGGTTTAAGCTTGGGTAGAAGTTTCCTAGGGTTTTCGGCTTGGGTTTAAGATTGTTGTAGGTTTGGACTCTGGATAGCAGGATGTGCAAGCTTTGCACGATAGGTGGAGAGGGAGGGCAGTAGGTAGAATAGAGGTGACCGAGCATCGTTCAGAACCATTCAGCACATCACAAGCGAGATCACGGATGTCGCGGAGTTCCCTGAGTTCACTGTCCGACTTTCAGAGCAAGTGGGTGGGACCTCGACAGCCGAGAGGCCAAGATACGAAAGGCCCACCCCAATCATTGACAGGCTCTGTGGAGACAAGCCAAGGATGCGCAATCATCCATCAAAGCTGAACGACATCACGATGTACCGAGCTTTCAACACCGTTAACTCGGGAAGCTCCAGATACCGGAGCCGTCGCTCCCGGACCCAAAAGAGGTTCTGAACTGGTGGGAGAACACATTCATTTGGGCACGGCCCCTTGTGGCACACCGTCCAAAGTAGGTGGGTAGACACCTAGGTTGCAGGGATTAAGCCTGGCAGGTGGGTTAATGGGTTGGTAGGTTTGGTGGGTGGTTGCATGTGAGTGGTTAGGTTGGTGGGAAAGGTGGGTGGGTGGGTAGGTAGGTAGGTAGGTAGGTAGGTAGGTAAGTAGGCAGGTAGGTAGGTAGGTAGGTAGGTAGGTAGGTAGGTAGGTAGGTAGGTAGGTAAGTAGGTAGGTAGGTTGGTAGGTCGGTAGGTCGGTAGGCCGGTCGGTTAGGAGGTAGGTAAGTAGGTAAAACTCGTGCGGTATGTAAGCTAGGCAGGTACAAATGTCTGTAAGTAGGACCCTAAACCCTAAAGGTATTTCCGATGGTCGGGATAGGTTTAGTCCTGGAAAGAGAACATATCATGCCCAGGTGCCCCAAACTTGAAAACAGGATTTGAGGGCCAGGGAGATAGTTCCTGTAGCAGCTTCTGTTGCGCTCTCATCTCTCAGTCCCCAAGCCCCGGACACTGAAGCCGGCGCTCCTGTAGGCATGATTTGCAAACGTCGGAAGGAATCCAGAATCCCAAAACAAAACACGATAATCAAGGAGACCCTTTTAAGATTAAGGGTTTAGGCTTANNGGTTTGTGGGGTTTAGTTCCGGCCAAAATCCTGAACCCTAAAGCAAAGCACGATCATCAAGGAGCCCCGTTTAAGGTTTAAAATTTGAGTGCTTAGTTCCAGTCGATATCCTGGATCTGAGATCAAGGAGCCCCGTTTAAGGTTTAGAATTTGGGTGCTTAGTTCCAGTCGATATCCTGAATCTGAAGGGAAGACACGATAACCCAGGAGTTCTTTTAAGGTTTAGGGTTTGTGGGATTT